CATCGAGCCGTACTTCTACGCAGGTAGCGTTGAATGACATCTCAATGGTAGGCCCAACTATCCAAGAGGAGCTGTACTCGACTCTGCGGGGGTTTAGATTACATAAGTTTGCCCTTGCGGCCGACGTCAAAAAGATTTATCGCCAAGTGATAGTGTACGAAGCTGATCGTAACTTCCAGCTCATAGTAAGGAGACGAGATCCTTCTGAGTCCCTGAAAATCTTTAAGTTGAACACCGTTACATATGGAACTTCGCCAGCACCCTTTTTGTCGATTCGGTGTTTAATGCGGCTAGGAGAGATGGCGCAAGCAACTCATCCAAAAGCCGCAAAGGTTATTCAGAATGATTTTTATGTTGACGATTTGTGGACTGGCTCCGGATGCGTTTAGGACCTGCAAAGTCTTCAAGACGAAGTTTGTCACGTCTTGCAAGAGGCACGCTTTGAATTGTCAAAGTGGTTTTCAAACTGCTTAGAGTTATCCGCATATGATAGACGCTGCAATGCCACTTATGGCAGACTCAGAGTTAACTAAGGACCTTGGCGTGGTTTGTTTACCGGTTAAAGATTACTTACAATTTCGGTTGAACTCTATCCTGGATCTTCGCGCGACAAAGCGAAATATTTTGTCGGTGACTGCTCGACTTTTCGACCCACTTGGCGTCTTGTGCCCTTTGGTCACAAAGGCAAAGATGTTGTTGCAGGAACTCTGTGGCTTCGAAAATTAGATTAGGACGAGCCGCTACCGATGCAGTTGCTCACGTCGTGGGAGACGTTTAAAGCGACGCTTCTGCAGCTGCCAAAAATTTAGGTATCGCGATTCGTCAACACAGATCCACAAGTCCCGATTCAAATACATGGTTTCGCTGACGCTTCCATGCGAGCGTATGGAGCGTGCATCTACGTTCGGACTCAAACTGCTGAAGGTTTGAAAGTGTCTTTATTGACCGCCAAATCGAAAGTAGCTCCCCTCAAGACGAAAACTTTGCCTCGCCTTGAGCTGTGTGCAGCTCACCTTTTAGCAGGTCTCTATAATCGTGTTAGGCCATTGCTAAATTCTCCCATTGAGAATGTTTTCATGTGGACAGACTCCGAGATCACTTTACACTGGATTAAAACCCTTCTCTCGTCGTTGTCGGTTTTTGTTTCGAACCGGGTTGCAGAAATTCAGGAGTGGTCGGAGAAAGCAATTTGGAGACAAGTTCCCACGAAAGTCAACCCAGCAGACATAGTGTCCCGAGGATGTGACGTAGAGGAGCTTACAACGTCCATTTGGTTCGGTGGGCCTTCGTTCTTGCTAGACTCAGAAAATAATTGGCCTGTAAATAAACATTTCGAACGGCCGGCTGATGTAATGTCGATGGAGCTACGCAAATCGGCAAAAGCTCTCGTAGTCAGCCCAGAGCCAAATTATGTGCTTCACAAAATAGAGTCCTTTTCGTCGCACCTGGAGCTTCTGAGAGTTTTCGTGTGGGTTTTTCGTTTTGTTCAAAGGTGCAGAAAGGTGTCGAAGCCCTTTGAAAAAAGTATTTCGCCAAGAGACCTGGATTTCGTTTTTGAGAAAATTGTCGAAGCTATCCAATTTCACGAATTCAGAGACGACATAAGCAAAATTCGAATAAAATAAGCCGGTAGCAACGAATATTCAAAAGTTAAACCCTTTTCTTCAGGAAAATAAATTAGATTGGTGTTCCTCGACATTGCAACGAGTTGGGGGTCGGTTATTGAATGCTCCTATCCCGTACGAAGCCAAATTCTCGTTGTTGTTGTTTAAAATCTCGTAAGTCGTCTGCGCGAGAAAATATGGCTAGTTAATGCTCAAGAAGTCTGCCGACGAACAGTTCGGTCGTACATGCGCTGCTTTCGCTGCAAGCCGCAATTCTTGATGCAGATTATGGGAAACTTGCCAGCAGATAGACTTCGAGCTCTCCGCCCGTCTAATATTTGTGGCGTTGATTTTTGTGGTCCTTCAGCACAACGTATCGTATCCGTGGTAAGCCACCGTACAAGTCGTACGTGGCCTTGTTCGTCTGTTTTGCGTCCAAGGCGGTCCACTTAGAATTAGTTTCTGACCTAACCACTGATGCGTTCTTGTTGACATTTCAAAGGTTCGTAAGTCGTCGCGTTATTATTACGTGACGCACATGAGGGAGTTCCGAGCCCGTCTGGAGGAGCAGGGCGGCGGTATCGAAACATTAGCATGAAAAAAATGGATGCGAGTTTGCGTTTATACTATGGGTGGCAGGTGTGAATTCTGCAAAGCACCTGTTCCTTCGGAAGGTAGGCCAAGACCTCTTGACCGCGGAGCAGCTCTGCGTGGTGGCCGTGCTCAACTCCAGGCCCCTCGGAGCTCTAAGCAGCGACCCGAACCACGGCGAGGCCCTGACCCCGGGAATCTGCTCATCGGCGGCCCTCTTCTGGCCCCACCATCAGCGGCGCTCCCGGACCAGATCAGCCTGACCTGCTTGCGACGATGGCGAGGTGTCTCGTCTCTCAGGCACGGGTTTTGGCACCGATGGTCCCGGGAGTACATTTCCAGCCTCCAGCAGCGGTCCAAGTGGCACCAGGGGGAGCCCAACATCGTCGTGGGAGCGCTCGTCGTCGTCGCCGAAGAGAACCTTCCGCCCCAGCAGTGGAGGATAGGCCGTGTGGTAGCGGTGCACGCCGGCGCCGATAACAAGGTTCGCGTGGCGGACGTCAGGACGCAAGAGGGGGAGTATCGGTGAACAGTCTACCGACTGGCCCTGTTGCCCGTTCTGGGCTGAAGGACGTCGTTCCTTCAGAGGGGGCGGTGTTTGCGCACTTGGCGCTTTTATTTGAAGTCACTAGTTGTAGGCGAGAGCGGGAGCCAATAAAGCTTTCGTCCGTTCGCTCTTGCGAATTCGCCCCGTCTCTCGCCACCGTAGCATAAGCTAGGTTCTAAGAGAAATTATTGAAATATTAAATTTAGTGATCATCTGAACTTCATCGTAACCATTCCCTTTCGTTGTCGCATTTTCCCACAAGTTTTACACAAGTTATCACAAATAGATGATCGCGAATCCTACTGCAGTCACACAAGTTTCGCGTTTGCTTATACAAAATAGTATTAAATTTTCAGTTGAGATGTCTTTGGCCTGATCTTTTTTTAAAGAACTCTTTAGTTTTGGTATTGCAAGAAGCTGTTGCTTCTGCCCTTGACTTTTTAGTCTCAGTACAAATTCGCTGATTCGAGGATTTGCTGTTAGGAGAAGCTGCTCATATTAAGCGCTTCTACTACCGCCTGCAGAATGTATATGGAGTCTCCTACACTCAACCGCCGACGATCTAAGGCTGAGACAAGTTTAGGGTGTGTGAGATTCTTTCTACCTACGGTAAAACTTTTTCAGGACATGCAACGTCTAGCAAACTCAGTTCAGAAGTTTTAAGCTTTTCTTCGTCCATTTCTTCCGCATACACTAAGTTTCTTATCATAGAAGTCGATTCAACAGCTAATCGCTCCTTTTGCTTACATTCATTTTCACTTCATTCAATCATTTTTGCCTAGCTCTTTCTTCTTGCTCGGTAAATATTTGTATACAGCAGCTAAACATTTCGGACAACCTGGTCCTCTTTGTTTTTTAACATTCTCTTGGTCATTGAAAGTGACTTGAGTTTTCTTACAATTTATTTTAGCACCTAATATATATAAGCCAAGATTAAAGTTTAACAATTATTGATTGTAGCTACGCGTCGATCCATCGCTGCCAACGTCTCTGTCGCTCCTGGTTTTTCTGCTGACGGTCTTTTATATTATCGGTCGCTACTCTTGGTCGCTTTATTGTAATTTGTAATTTAATTGACCGGTGCATTTTTATTATTGTTTTTATTGTATGCACTTAGTTGAGTTCGATCAACTCTAAAAATTGGCTGTTCTGCGTTCCCTTCGAAGGGATACTAAAGGGTTTATTTGGTCTGATTATTTCACTGGGCACAAGTCTTGTTTTTTTTTTAGGAGTGACAATGTGCGGCGTTTTTTAAATGGCTTTTTTTGAACTTCTGGGTCTCGGGATTTTTGCTTTTTTACTTCTCACTGATTAGGAAACAAAACGTCAGATTATTTTACCTTCCAAACTTCAGGAGTCGCGGAACTTGTTATCCTATCGCGGTTTTAGTCAGGTCCATGTTCGATTAGGATTTTCTTAAAAAAAAAAATTAAACCTCTCTTTATTGAGTTGGATTAAGAACTAATTTGCTTAAGTTAAACAATTATTGATTGTAGCAAGCTCAGCGCACGTGGTTAAGTTCGTTTGAACTTTATTGAGGGCATTGAATAGCTGTTTGTTGTGGTTACTCTTTTCTAGTGTATTATTTCGGATGTTAACTTGTATAATTTTAATAATAATTATATATATTTGCTTAACATTGCAGAGGCTACTATAAATTTTAATCATAGTGAAAACTTCATTTCCGATCCAAAAAATCTAAACAAATTTTTTATCAGCAATCACCTACTATAGCTGCCATGTCCGTCTGTCTGTTTGTCCGTCCTCTTAGTTTTGAAGCTTTCTGGATGAAACTTTCCCAAAAGATCTTTTTAAAAATTGTATTTTGTTTAGCGTTGATATTCATTTCATAGGCGGTAAAAATAAATATTTTTTCTTTTTAGGTTTGATCGTAGGCCACTCCCTGCTTCTGCAACAGCTAGTGATTGTGTGAATGACAGCCGCAGACTTTATAACAAACATAAAAATCGATATATATTGTGTTATAGAATATAAACGTTGATTTTCGGAAGTTTATTTCTTTTCTTGTTTGCTTTTGATTTCAGCTTTTATTTAAGTACAGTCCACAGCAACAGCATATCATAGATATAAGTGATTTTACCACTCTGGTTTTAGTTTTCAAGGCCTTAAAAATGTATGAAGAATAGTCGCTAAACGAAATATTGTTATATCGACGTTTTCTTAAAAATATCAAATATTGATAACTTTTTCTAAAGTTCGACTTTTTTTTAACAGTTAATAATAATTTTGTATTGCAGCATTTGTGGCATCAATGAATACGTCGTATACACAATGGTATAGCAAAGCTGTAGTTCAATCAAAAAGTGAAGAAATAGTAAATGGACTAACCGCATCTTTTGACACTGCCTTAAAAATGTATCAAAAAAGGAATGGATATCTACCCGAAAATGTGATAATATACAGGTAACAATATATTCTGGTTTAGTTTAATTACACAGTGCAACACACAAATACTGAACTAATTTTTGAAAGTTGCTGCTGAAAGTACTTGCAAAAATTAGAAATTCAGCTTTATTTCTTTATGATATAAAGCTCGGGCTTATATTTTATGCTATTATACTTTTTGTTGCTTAAACTGGCATTTGGAAACCTTATTTGACAATTTGATACGGCTATACCTCGTAAACTGAGAGAAATATTTGTTGTGCTTCGTAAGCAAACTTGTAGGTATCGAATGGTAAAAAAAATGCGGAACAAATACAAATTAAAATTAAATTCGCAAATGATACCAATTTTTATAAAATTCTTATGCATTTTTAGGTCAATAGTTCAACCACACATCTACAAATTTGTCTTTTTTTCGTTTTTATTTCGAATGAAACAATTGAAAGTCAAAATGAAATAAAAATATGAAATTAAATGAAAATATAAATTTTTATGTATGAAATCGAAACAAAAATTAGTTAAATCTCAATATCCATTCCCCTGGTTCTTAGTCTTCTGGTATGTGGTTCAAAACCTCCATCTGAGTCTTCATTATCATATATGGGATTCAATGACATATTGATTTCTGTGTTTCCTCAAAAATGGTTTTATTGGGTCTTGGGTGTCTTCATATTCGCTAATTTTACTTTACCACCAACATACTTCCGCAATCAATGCATCAAGTATTTCCCTTAAACCGCTTTTCCGTAAAGACTACCAATCAACTACGAATAAAATCACAAACGAGAGATTCCACTTTCACACATTCTTTATTTTTTAAGATTTTATTCATTTAATAGCCTCTTACGAGTCCGCTACACCGTATTCTTTCGACGGAGAGGAATATTATATACATTAACCTTGGAGCACTGATCAATCCACTTGTTTGTTCTTGTCGCGTGCCGTCGCACGATCACGGCATGGTACCTCGAATTATACGAAAAATTACCGCGGGAGACGCGTCTGTCCCGTCTCATCATTCCTAAACACGAGAGAACGGAAACTCCTTTCCCAGGTTCCCTTTTTCTCACCTTCGAGATTTCTGGTACATTCCTTACTTTCTAGCATTTTCTATGACCATGCTAAATATCGGCTAGCGTTGCCACTCTGGTTTGAAACTTAGCTATGACTTAATGTTTTGTCTCAACTTAATATTTATTATTTTTTAGAATATGTCGCTTACAACTACAACCTTACATCCTACTAATATTTGTAACGTACACCTTCTAGATGTGTACGATCCTGTCTGGAGTGGCTTCTGCGTAGTATGTTTTGAGCTGGGATATGTTGGCGGACTGCCGCCGTCGATCTCCTGGGCGCTGCAGGCGTACCAAATTCGGAGATGTGAACTTCGTGACGGTGTAAGGACCGTCATACTTGGGAGCAAGTTTGGCGGCGAATCCCTCGGCCGCTTTCGATAAGGGATGCTGTCCCAGCCAGACTTGACCGTTGACTTGAGCGTTGGTCTCCTTCGTGGGTTGTAATGTCTCGCCTGGTTAAGAGACGCTCGCTGAAGATCCGCTCGTACGATGTCGAAGATTCCTTGGAGGTGAATCCGGGGGTGAGTTCCGAGTTGGGATCAATTCTACCCATTTCGAGGACACGTCGTGAAACACCAGAAGCATAGAATTGCCTTGTTTCGACCGGGGCAGTGGGCCTACAAAATCCGCACAGAGATTGTCGAAAGATTCATCATAAGATAAGCATCTTACCTGCCGCTTTGGTCTGTTCTGTCTTAAATCTTTGACAAGATTCACAATGGCGAACATGGTATTTCGCGTCGCGATGCATACCGGGCCAGAACTACCTTTGCGTCAGACGCGTGATCGTCTTTCGGACTCCCAAGTATCGTGGCACTCATGTAATACGCGGCCTCTGCGAGAAGTGGGCACACAGAGCTTCCACGGGAAGTAGTCCTCGTCGTCAGCTCAGTAACCCATGTTCCTGGAGAGCTGGTCATTTTCGATCGTATAGTCGGCGAACTTCTCGGGGACTTCATGTATTTGATCTTTCCTCTTTTTGATCAAGTTGCAGTAGTCCTCGAGTTTGACAGCGCCTTGAAGTACCTCACAAGGCTGTCGAGAAAGTGTGTCGGCCGTACGTTCAATTTCCCTCGTCGATAGCGTACGTCGAATTGGAACTGCTGCAATTCTAGCGCCCAACGCGCTATTCGGCCGGAGAGGCTCTCAATAGAATTTAGCCAGATGGTCGGTAACGACTTCGAATCGGTAACCTTCCAGGTAGCACCGCATATTCATGATTGCCCAGATTATGGCTAGACACTCTTTCTCCGTGTCCGTGGTCGTGTAGTTATGTTCCGCGGGGGTTAGTCGGCGGCTAGCGTATGCGATAACCTTTTCTTGAACTTCGGTGTCGTAGGATAAAACTACGCCCAAGCCGACGTCGCTCGTGTCTGTTTGCAAAATTAACTCGTGGTCGAAATCCGGACAACCTAACACGGGGGCAGTACTCAGGCATCTTTTATTTCTGCCAAGGCGGTTTGCTGTTCCGGTCCCCAGGTCCACTTCCGTCCTTGCTTTAGTAGCACAGTCACCGGGACTGGGTAGGCGTCGGGCACTGAGTGTGCGTTTAACTGACGATAGTCTACACACGCACCGGCGTCGATGTTCGGGATCGTAGCCCGCGTAGGCATAGGGCTGAGTACCTCTGATCCTCCTGGCCTGGCATTCCCCACTTGGGCCCCCAACAGGGTATACCTATTTCTCCTGGTTGCCTCGCGACTTTATAAGTACTGGCTGTAACAGAAGGTCTCCTACCGCTTGGGATTCAGATTGCAAGTCGAGGGTGGCTCGCCAACATCGCACCGGTACTTTGAGGAAGTCCATCCCGAGAATTTCGACGGCAACAATATATGGTTAATACTCCAGGTCGTCCACAGTTCCAACAGGAATACCGACATGGGTGGGGGCAGTGTCCTGTCTGCGTTTTATTCTCCGGATTCCGGAATGGTTTCGCCGATCGGCAAAGTTGAGGTTCCTCTTGGTTCCTGTCCATGGTTACTATGGTCTCACTTCGAGTCGACTCGAGTTGCTTGATACTCTCATATTCTGTGGCCATATGGGTCAACTGTCTCCAAGTCGCGAATTCACTGCGTTTAATTTATAGCCCGCATTCTAGAGCCATGTTTTCGTATGCTCGGTACAATTAGTCCCCTTCTCGATAGTCGGCTTGCTGCATCTTGGTTCTGAGCTCGATCAGGTAAGATATGAAAGGCTCCCCTCTCCGCTGCACGTCCGTATCTCATCTTCCAACCGCACGAAATATCGAGGGAGTAGGAAAAAATCGAGGAATTCCCTCCGGAAAATTTCCCATGAGGCGACTGTAGGTGGATCGTGCGAAACCACCGTGCCGCTGGGCCCTCCAAGATTTCAGACATAGCCCGGGGGACGTCTTCTGGACTTATCCTGTACGTCGTCATCTTTTCATCGAGCGCGGCGATGAGAGTCAACGGATCTGAGCTCCCATCGAACCGGAAATTCCACTTGTGCATCTTCTCGGGTAGCAGATGTTAAGTGGGAGCCGTGCTGCTCCGTGTGTCTCGCCCTTGTAGGTCGGTGGGCAAGCGGTCGTCAACTGGCGGCATCCAGGTGACGTGTGTCGATCTTGGGTGTATCCCTCGATGGCGGGCTGGAGTCCCGATCGATGTAGCCCCAGAAGCCATGGGAATGGTGAGGGATTCCGTGAATTGTCCCGTCTCACTGTTCCTTTCTGGAGGATTCGGGCTTGGAACCCGACTGCTATATTGCTGAGCCAGTCGGTCCCACACACCCTGTGTTGACGAGGAACGACCCTGTGTTGACGAGGCTGGCGAACGACTTCCTGGTCTCTTCGACGGCACCATCCGCTTTAAAACCAAACTCCAGGGCGGGAGAGCTGAGTTTATCTTTTCGGCGAGCGTAAATCCAGCGGACTCCTATACCTGGATTTCTAATAAAATCGGCTTCTTCGTACTCACTGTAGGGTTACTTGAGTAATTCCTGCGTTAACTTCCTTCTCAAGTTTTCTAAGTCCTTCCTGAGGCCGGATGAGAGCGACTCAACCTTTTTTTCAGTGGTCCTTTAAGCCACTTGGATGATTCTCTAGCTAGTCTCGGTGTCCTTGTTCGGGCGCCACTTGTAAGCATGCTCTCTGGCCGGGGTACAGATTTCAGTCAGATCCAGAAGTCCTTTACAAGAAATTTGTAAATCACCGAAACACCAGACTAGAGAGTTTCATTCAACGAGTGAATGAGTAGTTTGAGGGGTCACGCCGAAGGTTCTTATGGATGTCGTGAGAGAGAGCTATGACGGAGTTGATCGCATTGTGTCCTGTTCCGGAGTCAAAAGTCCAACGGGCTGGACCTTCGGGCGAGGCCGAGCCGGGTAGAATTTGTCGGTCGGCGGCAGATTGAAGGGAAAAGGATGGTGACACGATCGATTGGTCGGGAATGATGACCACGCTCAGGTCGAGGAGGAAAGCTAGGGTAGTAGACCATTCGGGACGGGTGTCCACGTGGGGGTCGCAAATACTACGAGTAGGGAAGCTAGTATTAGCCCAGACGGGATGGGTGTCCACGTGCGGGTCGCAAATACTACGGGGAGGGAAGCTAGGGTATTAGACCAGACGGGACGGGTTTCCACGTACGAGTCGCGTGCACTACGAGGAAGAAAGCAAGGGTAATAGCACAGACGGGATGGGTGTTCACGTGCGGGTCGCAAATAATACGAGGTGGGAAACTACCGATCAACTACGAATAAAATCACAAACGAGGATTCCACTTTCACACATATCTTTATTTTCATAGATTTTATTCATTTAATATCCTCCGAGTCCCCTACAACGTTTTCTTTCGACGTAGAGAAGTATTATATACCTTACCCTTTGAGCACTGATAAATCCACTTGTTTGTTTTTGTCACGTGCGGTCGCGCGAT